TAAGCTTACATGCTTTATAGCACCTAAGTGTTTGGTAATTGTGGGAAGGAAAAAACAGCTGAGCTTTCTTTAGTATAAAAGATAATAAATTAACTGCATGCATTATTATAGTTAAGAGAGAAAACAGAAGCAGGCGTATTTTGGGCAACAGTGATTCAATGGTATAACATTTTTTAAGATTGAACTACAAATAATGGGTCAACCTGAAGACAGTGGAATCGAATCTGAATAAGTAAGAGCAGAATCTGGTCATGTGTAGACCAATCTTCACTGCCACTCCATGTTACAAAAATAAAATTTTACTGAATGTTGAAAACATTATATTTTCTGAATGTTGCTATAAAACATAAAGCAACAACATCTGTTTAGACTCTGCTTTCCTTTGCATTTTAGATTTTTGATTTTGAAACTCATAATAGCAGTACTTAATATTTAAATTACATACACTGTGGGGGTTGGCTGTTTACTTTTGTATAGACCTTTTTAGATTGGAACAGGGCTAAATGAACTTGCCAATTATAGTCAGCAAAATTCCGCCAACCTCACTCACGTTGGGGACTTTACTTGAGAAGGGGGAAAAATATTACTTAGTGACAGCAAAGATAGCAGAATGCAATCCACTGTAAAAAATGATTAAAGGTAGTATGTATGCATCACACAAAAGCTGATCCTACACAACCAGGGAAATGATTCATGTCTTTTTGTTTCTGAATAGGGCTTTAGTGCCTAATTCTGAGCATCACCACTGAAAATTAGATGCAGTTCCATTGAAGTCAGTGATCACAAGAGGATACTAAACACATCCACGTCATTAGAGTACTTACAAAACAGGGTTATGGTTTTATCAGCACTCCTGATAGGAAGAGCATTCATAAGGCAGGGCAGATATACATATATAACTTGGTTTATTATAAATGATACACTATATATAATATAAACCTGGTTTATATTAGAAACCTGGCTGTTTATTTATAAATACACATACACACATATATGCAGGGGTATTATAAGTACCTCTGAATCAAGAACCCTGGTTGATTCAGAGGTACTTATAGTACCCCTGTATAGACCCCTTTGCAAGATTCAGCTTCTTGATGTATTTGTTTGCCCCCAATCTATCATACTTGTAATTCCCTTTAGAATATTTTTAGCAAGTCAAGAATTGAGGCCTCCACTACTCTGGATACATAATCCGTGTTTATATTTAAAATGATCTTTTGTAAAAGAGTTGTCAGTTTGCATTTGATTTTGAAGTATGAGAAACTGAAGGAAACATCCAGTCTTTGGGTCAAAAATGTCTTCCAGTTGTATGTGCAAGTCAGAGAGGAAAAAAAAACAATCACAGATTTGAGAGGAATTGTTTTAAATGCAAAGTAAAATACATTACCAAGCAAGATATATTCAGGAGCACGAGCAACAGATTCTTTCCTTTGATCTTTTTGTGACTTTGAGCAAGGAAAATATTTTCTCTGTATGAATTTATGACTCACATGTGAGCACATTTTGTTCTTTATTCCTATCCACTTTTACACACACACACTACAACTATAAATTGATACCTTTAGAAAACTGATCTCATACCCCCACCAGTTGGAACTTGCAGAGATCTTTTTTAATTGTGGCATTGGGGATTTGTTCTGCATTCCTGACAGCAAGCTTAGATAACAGACATAAAACTATACAACTGTCTTTCAATTTGCTATTTCCATCCTCATTCTAGCTGATCTCCTTTTTCCTTTGACCGTTAGACGTTACATGAAATAAATTAAAAAAACCCTCCATTCAACATTTTGAATTGGTCAATAGGAGAAGAAAACTAGGTACCTAATATTTTTAGAAAAGCCGGTGTGTGTCTGATGCATGAATATGGATTTTCTATCATGAAATCCTCTCTCAACCCAGCAAGCTTGTATAAATAATTATCTAAAAAAATTTCAGGAGCCAGATAATTCAGCATATCTTTACATCTCCTGAACTTCAGTGTATGGGTTCATAGCTGGAAGATTTCAGTCAGAAACTTGGTAACTCACTGATATGTATTACAATATATTTTTCTTTTGTAGGAAATAAAAGAAAATCATCCTCACGAGGCCACAGGACAGTGACCAGAGTCATGAAATCATATGCACTCAACACTGACCTAACTGTACTTTTGTCTTCTATGGGCATAAAATATGGACAATGCTCCTGTAAACCCAACATAAAAATAGAAATGATACAAAAATAGTTATAAATAGTTAAAAGCCATCTGTACCACAGGGGTTTTTTTTCAGATAGACATTTGGTTTGAGTCCTTGTGTAACTTCACAATGTGAACATCAGTGACACTGACATAGCACCTCAGCCTAACATTCAAAACCACAAGCCTATTTTTAATACTCATATAAATAAAATATCCTTCCCAGAGTCAGGTTGCCCAGAAGACATCATTTCACCCTTTGCCCACTTATTAAGGGATGGCCTTTAACAAGAGAAGCACATAATCTTGGAGGTTAGAAGTCTGCTGCCAGCTAGATTTGGCCAGTCCTTGCAGTGTTTGTTCTTGTTTAGCAACCATGTAAGTCTGAAGATAACGTGCACATTTGCTGATAACAGCTACACCGGTCATGCATTTGGGAACTGGGTGGCAAATGGCATTTAGAAAAACCTGTCAGAAGCTAGCGCTTTTATCAAATTATTACACTGCCTTCTTAGTTGCCCTGTGTTATGTTACCTTCTATTATACTTATGGAGAAAGGACCATCTTTTGTCTTGTGTTTGTGTAGCTCCTAGTGTAGTAGCATTCTGATCCATGCCCAGCGCTCCCAGGTATAGTAATAAACCTTCTCACTGTTCGTTTTTAGCACTGGGGCATAGTAATACATCCCTCATGTGAAACTTCCTTCCAGACTTGCCAGAGAGGTTTGATATTTGGTTCACATTAAGGGTTGTATTTCTCTCCATTATAAGCCTAGTTTTTAACCTCTTCACATTACCTTCTCCTAGAAGAAGTTAATCTTCCTGGAATTGTACATAATCTCCGATACCAAGGTGAAACTTTCCCATGGAGTTTAATTCTAGATTTAGTTTTTAGTTTTGGGTGGTTCCAAAATTTTCTTAGAGTTCACATTTGAAAAAAAAAAACCCAAACAACTAACTTTTGTAACTGAATCTCCAATCTGGTTCAACCTAGAAGTGTCAAATGTATTTTGTTGACCTTGAAAAATTATTTAAAGATTGGAGGATCTAACCAGGTCTACTATGCAAAACCCTCCAGCATTCACTACCCCTCTCCTGATGTAGGAGGCAATTTCAACATCAAACGTTAGGGCAGAAATAAAAGTAAACTGTAATCCACTGGTACAGAGAGACAGACAACAATAATTAGGAAGCTAATATTTTATTTTCCTATATATTAGGAAAATTATATTTAGACAGCAGGATAGGGTTAAAAACTATGCTATTAACAGAGGTCTAGGTTTCCTTGCTAGCCAGTAATTAATTAGCAATGAAACAACTAGTAGAGTTGGGGAGATATTAATGTTGATTGCAAAATTGCTCCCAATTCATATCAACATACACTACAAAACCAGTGGTCAGAAAAATTCAGCAAACCAAACCAGATCCAGTGAAACAACATTTTAGCTCAATAAAGTCACTCCAAAATATTGAATATACTTGTAACAAACTATGCATTTGTCTCACCTACCTTGTGTCCTGGTGTCAAAATATCATGGGAAGCCCAAACCTAAAACAGCAGAGGTACTGTTACAGTGTTACTATCCTGAAGGCACCCAGAACAACCAGGATTCTGCAACATAATGCTTTAATTTAAGATACTTTAGTGACATGGTGATTAGGGGACAGTTTATCTTTATATGCATGTAGTCCAAATTTTACCTATTTTTGGCCTTGAGTGCCTAAGTACCACCAGCTAAAAAGTACAGTTTTGGGGGCTCTCAGAAATAAGACCGACTTTATGGCATCAGTAGTATGAATTAGGGGAAATTCATGTGACAATCACCCACTGATCTGAGGGCACTACCTTGCCTTATTTTTAGCAGAGGTGATGATACTAATAGCAATAAACATCAAGTAAAACATGTATACCAGTGCACAGTACCTCCTCTGAGGATGCCTACATGCAGTGCTAGCCCTGTTTGAAGAAATTCCATGTTACAACAGCTTCCCTCAAAAATCAAATTCTTGACAGCTCTAAGAAACTCCAGCTGGAAGCTGCTTGACTCGCAGAGAGGGGCACTTACGGGCATGCCAACAAACCCAATAAAAATCTCTGAAAATAGCTGGAACGTTTGAAAGGTCCCTTTATAGCGCACTGTAATAAACTTGGCAGAGGAGTCTACTCAGTACTGTAGAACTATATTAACACTGACCATCGCACAAACACTTCCGTGGTCCCCTTCCTTGGTTCCATGCTAACATCTGAGGGTGCTTTTACACATGCAACAAGAGCTGCTCTAATTAAAGCACCACTGTGTCTTCTGTATCAGCATCTCTGCACTTAAAAATGGCAGCTGGGGCACTTGAACTAAAGCTTCTTCTACGAGCTTTAGTTCAAGAGCCCCCACTACCATTTTTAAGTGCGGGGACGCTGATACAGAAGATGCAGGAGGCTGCTGGAGCACGGCAATTGCCACGCTTCAGCAGACTCAATTAATCTGACACGCTGGAATTCCAATGTGTTGGAGCAGCCTCCACGTTCGTGTATAGGCGTCCCTACTGATTTGGTACAGAAGGCTAGGAATGCATAGCTGAAAAGAATCTGAGCAAGCTAGCAAGAACTAGAACAACCAGTCTGCGACTTTCAGGCATTTGCATAAATACCTAAAGAAAGAGACTCTCCTACTGATTTTTTCAGTTATGTGCAGCTGGGTATATTTAATGATACATACTCTGCTCTGAGGCACATCTGGTCCCCTCACTTTCTTCCAAAATACTTGCACTCAAGTGTTTTTTTCTAATTAATTCTGCTTCAACTGAAGTGTCCGCCATCAGCTGTGCTGTGTCAGCTTTTTCATGTAACTCTGGAATTAACTACTTTCTTGGAAAGCTCGCTAGAACTATTCCTGCAACAGGTATCTTAAGACGACAAGACTGAAATGTCACTCTTGGGATCCACTGTAACCCACCAATTCTAGATCTTTAGTTGTGCAAAGAGGGCAAGGGTCAAGGATCTATTTAATGCTCTTATGACTTCAGTTGCATTACCAAGAAACGCAGAGCTTTCCAGGCAGGGAGTGAGACGCTATGCTTGAGAGGGAAGTCATTTCACCAGGTTTCTCATGATACTGAGAGAGGACCCTCTGTACCCTGTGCCAAAATGGTTCCAGTGGTTCATGTAGTGGAAAAGCTGATACAACTTAAGTCGTTTCTCAAAGCCCGGAGCTTTGGGAATTTTACTATGGTAGGAAGAGTAAAAAGAGCTGTTGAAACCACCAAACATCCCAGCTATTGCGAGTTCATACTCTGAATGACCATAGAAGGAAGCAGGGTCAAAGATAATTGGGCCAAAGTCATCCTCAGCTACGTTTCCTCCCCATAGATCACCATGGAGGAGAGCAGGAATGATCTCCATGTCACAGAACAAACCGGGTATCTTCAGCTGCAGGAAGAAAAAGTGAGAGGTACCAGTAAGATACTTTGAGGTGAAAGATGGTAAGGTTTGATTACTTCAGACAACAGTTGCTAAAATCATCAGCGAAACTCCATACACGCTACAGAAAGTGAATTAAGACATTTACAAAAGGAACTGATTACTCAAAACTGCAATGAAAACAGAGTGGTGAATTTGATGTTTAAAATAAAATAAATAAGAACACATGCATGATTTCTATTTTTTCAGAACCAGAGACCCAAGCAACTGAAGTTCAGTCACCCAGTCACATATCCTGTTGTTGGAATTAGTGCAAGATGGAGTCTCTACACCTGGGGTCGGCAGACAACCTATGGCTCATGGGCTGGATTCAGCCCACACGGCCATTTAAACTGGCTCATGGATGCAGGACTTCAGCATGTGGGGATGGAAAAACAACAGTGGGAGAAACAAAGTGGTGGCAGCCAGGTCCTAATGCCTCCTTTCTACCTCTGACCTGAGCTGGGTCACTCCAGCCAGCAACCTAAAAAGGTTGCTGACCACTGCTCTACACACAATTAAAAGCGGTCATGTTTTTTAAGTTTCAGGATGTGCGGTAACTGTTTTAAGCAGCAGTGGTATTAAGAAGTAATGCACTCAAGGCTCCAACTTCATCCAGTTGCCCAAGTATGAGGACACAGTGCCCACTGGGAGAAGGTATAAGAAGCTTTCTATTTTCCATAAGTAGAGATCCACAAAGTAGGTAGCTAAAAATGAATCAATTCAGTGAAGACACAAATATTATGTAAAGAGGTAGTGCTACTGAACAACCCAATGTGTTCCCTTATACCAGGGATGGGCAATTATTTTGGGTGGTGGGCTGCTTAAGGAGGCTTGGTGAACTGTTGAGGGCTGTGTAGGTAGCCCTGCCCCTGGACAGGTGCCCTACCCCCTGGGCGCTATCTTGGGACTGGAAGTCCCACCCTGGCCTTTGCCACCAGAAGTCCCTCTCCTTGCCCCCTGGAAATACTCCTTTGGGGGGGGGGGGGCTTAGAACC